TAAGAGTTAGGGTCTGCAACTATACTACACGTTGGCTAATCAGTAAAAATGGGCGGAAGTCACACAGTGGTTTTTTTTACAAAAACCGCGGATGTAGTCGGATTGAAAGCGACAAAATTGTCCTAAGGACATGTCGAAGTGAAAGCAGCGGATTCGCTAATTATTTTTCCGCAAATGGTGCGCGAAGCACGGTCGTTCCAAGCCGGTGTGAAAAATTCGTCCTCCAAACGTTCGAATTGCAAGATTCAGAAATTGAGGTCAGATGGAAAACAATTAACCGAATCACAAAATAGACGGATACAGCGGATCTCCAAAGCCGCTCATTCAAGCGGACGATGGACAAAATTCGGAGCTGGTAAATTTTGATTCGTTCCATTCGGAACTACTCTGCTCGGCGGAAAGTGCGTGGAGACAAATGCGATATTATCTCTATCTACAGGAGTATATATCTACATTAAATTGAAGTTCGGACAGAGTAGAGGCATTATCTCTAACTAAAAGGAGTATATGCCATCTTGTGTAAAATGGACACTTAGTTGTGGTATTATCTCTCGCTATCAAGAGTGTATACCTTTTCTTGTGAAAAAGAAATGAGCTCACAGAAAAACTGTACTGAGCAAATCATGCTGTGTTATCTTCATCTATAGAAGTATACACTCACCTGTTTTTCGGTCTCCATGTCCACGAGGATGAAGCTGAGGAACCACCATAGCCAGTATCATACCAGTTGCTTCCAGACTCGTCCACTGAAGGACCATCGCCATGACCCTTTCTCTTGTTGGACTTTTGCGTAGCCTTTCTCTTTTCCTTTCTTCTCTGTTTCATCTCATAAGGAACATAGGCACGCCTTTCCCTCCATATCATATCGGAAGGATGCAAGTGAACAAGAATGGGGTTGTGCGCATCTCTGTCTGTAGGTGCAACCATGAAGATGCTGGGATCACTGGTGAAGCAAGTTTCATTGGCCCTGAAGGTAAACTCACGAGTAAATCCATGTGATCTTGATCATCAAATTTACTGATATCTTCCTCATACTCCAGTCGTGCATGTCCCCACTCAACAATCGATAGCATACAACAATCACCACGATCTTCTGTCTTCTTTGCGAGTTCTGCGGTGTATGTAGCTGTTGCAATACCATCCAGGTGTGCTGCAAGAAAATCAAGATCTCGGTAACTACAGGAAATAAAATGCTTGACCCTAACAGGTGGATAATCTCCAAAGTGCTTTCGTCTTGATTGTGTTGCCACATTCATCATCTTGTTGATCCAGTACTGCAAAAGGCTGCATTCGTACGTGGGGACTCCTCCAGATTTCGGAGTTGCAAGGTAGCATGCCTTGTTCCCGTCGCCTGCGATCGCGTCAACTTGATAACGGGCACACTCAAAGGCCATGCACGCAATGATCTCCCCTGTGATGCCTGGAGAATCTGAGACATGCTGCAGGCGCGGCACATACTCACATCTACCGGCATTTGGCGTGGCAGGCGCGGCACACACTCACATCTACCGTCGTTTTGCGTGGCAGGCGTGGTACAGATGGCACTTGGTGGCGCGCTTGGTCTTGGTTTAGGCACCCGTGACGCCGGGGCATTTTGCGTGGCAGGCGTGGCACAAACTCACATCTACCGTCGTTTTGCGTGGCAGGCGTGGTACAGATGGCACTGGGTGGCGCGCTTGGTCTTCGTTTAGGCGCCCGTGACCCCGCGGCATTTTGCGTGGCAGGCGCGGCACATACTCACATCTACCGGCATTTGGCGTGGCAGGCGCGGCACACACTCACATCTACCGTCGTTTTGCGTGGCAGGCGTGGTACAGATGGCACTGGGTGGCGCGCTTGGTGTCTTGGTTTAGGCGCCCGTGACGCCGCGGCATTTTGCGTGGCAGGCGTGGCACAAACTCACATCTACCGTCGTTTTGCGTGGCAGGCGTGGTACAGATGGCACTGGGTGGCGCGCTTGGTCTTGGTTTAGGCGCCCGTGACGCCGCGGCATTTTGCGTGGCAGGCGCGGCACATACTCACATCTACCGGCATTTTGCGTGGCAGGCGCGGCACATACTCACATCTACCGGCATTTGGCGTGGCAGGCGCGGCACACACTCACATCTACCGTCGTTTTGCATGGCAGGCGTGGCACAAACTCACATCTACCGTCGTTTTGCGTGGCAGGCGTGGCACAGATGGCAGCACAAACTCACATCTACCTTCGTTTTGCGTGGTTCCGACATGTTTTCTGCCTCGTTTCGTTTGTTTTTCTGGCTTGTTTACGTATGTCATGTTCCGGCATGTCTTATGGTCTTCCGGCATGTCTTATGGTCGCTCTGGCATGTTTTATTTTCCGACATGTTGCCTGCTTCGCTTCGTTTGTTCTGCTGGCTTGCTTACGCATGTCCTGCTCCGGCATTTTTTCTGGTCGCTCCGGCATGTTGTTTTTACTGACATGTTTTTGCATGTTGTTTTTGCATGTTTTTGCATGTTTTTTTCGGCTTGTTTCATTTCCATACGCATTTGCTGCCAGGTACTTGTCTTCGGCTTTGTGGTCGCTACGGGAGGCAGGGCCGCCGGCATGTTTACCTACCTTCGTCGTCGCCACGCTTGTTTCGGCTTGCTTTTCTAGCATGTTTAAGTCCTTTCTTCTTTCGGCCTGCTGCATTCCACACACAATTGCGGCCAGGTGCTGGTCTTGCTTGTGGTCGCTACGACAGGCAGGGCCCAACTGCGCTTGAGCAACGCTGTGCAACGCAGACATGATAGATTCTGTTTCTTGCATGCAGACTTTCATCATGTCGTTCTTGTCGTTCTGTTTTGGCCGCTTTGGCCCAACTAGAACTTGCAGACAACAGCTCTAGCACGCATACCACTACAACACAACTACAACTCAGTCAAGTTGAATTGGTCATTTGCATTCAAAGATGCGGTCATAGGATCATCTATTGTTGCTCCCGTCGTTTTTGCCCAACGTGGAAAGAAACGATCGGAGCAGCGTAATTCTGCTTTGGTGACCTTAGCCCAACGTGGAAAGAGGCCGCCGAAGCAGACATTGCAGAGGATAGTGCTACCACCACAAATACTACAATTCCAACTAGTCACAATCAACTTAGATTGGTCATTTACATTTGTTTCGTGCAGCTATGGCGGTGCAAAAACTTGCTAATGGTTGGCGCGCCCGCCGCAAGAAGGACGGCAAGACGTTCAATGGACCGCTGCGCGCGACTGAAGTGGCCGCAAATTCCGGCATGTTTCTTCTGTCGGTTTGTTTCGGCATGCTTGCTTTTCTAGCATGTTTAAGTACTTTCTTCTTTCGGCCTGCTGCATTCCACACACAATTGCGGCCAGGTGCTGGTCTTGCTTGTGGTCGTTTCGACAGGCAGGGCCCAACTGCGCTTGAGCAACGCTGTGCAACGCAGACATGACAGATTCTGTTTCTTGCATGCAGACTTTCATTATGTCGTTCTTGTCGTTCTGTTTTGGTCGCTTTGGCCCAACTAGAAGTTGCAGACAACAGCTCTAGCACGCATACCACTACAACACAACTACAACTCAGTCAAGTTGAATTGGTCATTTGCATTCAAAGATGCGGTCATAGGATCATCTATTGTTGCTCCCGTCGTTTTTGCCCAACGTGGAAAGAAACGATCGGAGCAGTGTAATTCTGCTTTGGTGACATTAGCCCAACGTGGAAAGAGGCCGCCGAAGCAGACATTGCAGAGGATAGTGTTACCACCACTACAACCACAATTACAACCAGTCAGTGATGTTTTTGCGGACAACATCTGTAGCACGCATACGACTCAACCACAAGTACAACTAGTCAGTCAAGTTAGATTCGTCATTTGCACTCAAAGGTGCGGTCATAGGATCATCTATTGTTGCTCTGGTGGTTTTGGCCCAACGTGGAAAGAAACGATCGGAGCAGCATAATTCTGCTTTGGTGACCTTAGCCCAACGTGGAAAGAGGCCGCCGAAGCAGACATTGCAGAGGATAGTGCTACCGCCACAAATACTACAATTCCAACTAGTCACAGTCAACTTAGATTGGTCATTTACATTTGTTTCGTGCAGCTATGGCGGTGCAAAAACTTGCTAATGGTTGGCGCGCCCGCCGCAAGAAGGACGGCAAGACGTTCAATGGACCGCTGCGCGCGACTGAAGTGGCCGCAAATTCCGGCATGTTTCTTCTGTCGGTTTGTTTCGGCATGCTTGCTTTTCTAGCATGTTTAAGTACTTTCTTCTTTCGGCCTGCTGCATTCCACACACAATTGCGGCCAGGTGCTGGTCTTGCTTGTGGTCGTTACGACAGGCAGGGCCCAACTGCGCTTGAGCAACGCTGTGCAACGCAGACATGACAGATTCTGTTTCTTGCATACAGACTTTCATTAGGTCGTTCTTGTCGTTCTGTTTTGGTCGCTTTGGCCCAACTAGAAGTTGCAGACAACAGCTCTAGCACGCATACCACTACAACACAACTACAACTACTCAGTCAAGTTGAATTGGTCATTTGCATTCAAAGATGCGGTCATAGGATCATCTATTGTTGCTCCCGTCGTTTTTGCCCAACGTGGAAAGAAACGATCGGAGCAGTGTAATTCTGCTTTGGTGACATTAGCCCAACGTGGAAAGAGGCCGCCGAAGCAGACATTGCAGAGGATAGTGTTACCACCACTACAACCACAATTACAACCAGTCAGTGAAGTTTTTGCGGACAACATCTGTAGCACGCATACGACTCAACCACAAGTACAACTAGTCAGTCAAGTTAGATTCGTCATTTGCACTCAAAGGTGCGGTCATAGGATCATCTATTGTTGCTCTGGTGGTTTTGGCCCAACGTGGAAAGAAACGATCGGAGCAGCGTAATTCTGCTTTGGTGACCTTAGCCCAACGTGGAAAGAGGCCGCCGAAGCAGACATTGCAGAGGATAGTGCTACCGCCACAAATACTACAATTCCAACTAGTCACAGTCAACTTAGATTGGTCATTTACATTTGTTTCGTGCAGCTATGGCGGTGCAAAAACTTGCTAATGGTTGGCGCGCCCGCCGCAAGAAGGACGGCAAGACGTTCAACGGACCGCTGCGCGCGACTGAAGTGGCCGCAAACGAAGATGCGCGGCAAATGGAGGAAGCAGCAGCTGTCTCCAGTGAACGCTTGCAAGAAGTTTTTGATAGACTATCGGGCTCGCTTTCTGCCCTGGCCGTGACCTCTGTACCGGCCGTGACCCAAAATGGTTCCAATTGGCGTGCTCGTGTGAAAGTCAGCCGAGCAACTGTCAATGGTCCGACACGGCAGTCCAAAGCAGCTGCCGAAGAGAATGCGCGCTTGCTTCAGCAAGCGCAGCAAATATCTAGCGCTGAGCTGCAGAAAGTCGCCGATCGTTTGCAGAAGGAAGTTGCTGACGTGCGTTCTGTGGCAACTGTTACTAAACATGGTGCAGGGTGGCGCGCTCGTGTGCAGGGTGCCCATCAAGTGTATGGTCCTACTAGGCAGTCTAAGGCTGCTGCAGACGTCGATGCCAGTCAATTTCAGGCTGCGCTGCAGCTCTCTGCCAAAGAGTTACAGTCTGTTGCTCAGCGGCTGCTGCAGGAGGCTGCTGATGTAGTCGTAAGGAGTAGCCGAGAAGCTCGGTTTGACGAAGTCATTTTGGCTGAGATCCGTGATGCTTTGGGCTTACAGCGACCGCAGAAGCGAGCCAGACTGCGTGCGAAAAATGTCGCCTATGATATCGACCCTGAGGTGGCCTCGAAGAGTGTGCACCTTTTGGTCTCTACTTTTCAGGATGTGGAAGCATAGCACCGCGCAGCCAAGGTGCGTGGATGGTGGAATTGGGCTTTCACACTAGACTGGATTATGGCTCTCGGCCCGCATGGACAAGTGGCTTGGAGCGTGGCACGACGCATGCTGGCTTGAAGAATTTAGGGAATAGCTGCTGGCTCAATGCCGTGCTGCAATGTTTTCGGTGGACTCGCCCGCTGTACAATGCTTTCACTGCTCGGTTGATGGAATGCGAAGAATCGATTCTGGGATCGCTGGTCGCAGATGTTTTAGCGAAGCTTGCAAGCAACGACTGGGATTACGTTGCACCATTTGCTTTGCTCAATCAACTGTATGCAACCTATCAAGGAAGATTTCGACCTGGTGAGAGCGCAGATGCAGCAGAAGCTTGTCGCTTGTTGTTAGACCGGTGTGTCTACGGCAGTGATATTGTACATTTACTGCCTACATCCATTGCAATGGCTCGGCGCGGCAAAACGCTCACGGAGCTGACGCGTGAGCATTTTGCTGCATGCCGGTCGAGCAGTGATGTTCTCATTTTGGAAGTGGCGCCCGTCGATGGCGGCCGGATGAATTGGTCGCAGTTATTGGTGGCACCGCCCTCTGGTGAGGCGCCTGCCACGAAACGGTGTGGTTCATTTTTGCGCTGATAATGTTTATAAGTTTGTTTGTGTCTGTCTCATGACCGCTGCAGGTTAAGCTGTTGCGTTGTGCTTCCGTCAGGGCAACAACTACCTCTACACAGTTTCCGGCTTTGTGGCGCATGTATCTGGAGATCATTTTGTGGCATATGTTCGCGCGCAGAATCAATGGTTATTATGCAATGATGCAACGGTCAGCATCGTCTCTGTTCTGGGGCCTGTTTGGCCTTGTCTGATTGTTTTGGAGAGATTACGCCGGCAGCAGCTGGCGCGGCCTGCGCGCCAGGCGCCGCCTGCGGGCAGCGACTGCCTCTGTCGCTTGCCTCGGTTGTTGCAGGAAACTGTGGCGCCTGTGCCTGATGCTCCTGTGGAGCGTGTGGTGGGAGCGCCTCCTGGGACTGCGAGGACTGCTGGCTCGCGCCTTGGCTGTTTTGCGGCGACACTGCAACGCAAGCGTCGTGCAGACACTCGCGCTCGCGCAGGTCAGCTTGGATGGGAATGTTAAGTTGTTAATTTCATAGCATTGAGGATGATTGGATTTGTGACTTTAATCATTTTGATTGTAGTAACTATCGTACTTCGTGATCCCATAGAAACTGCCTTGCAATTTACTCGCCCGGGCAGGCCGGAGACAACGGCGCGCAGGCCGAAGACGAGCGTTTGGATTTCTCGGGTCAAGGAATTTCAGGTTTATCATTTCATGGAATTCAGTATGACCGAAATGGGGAAATGATACGTTTCATTGACATTATCATCTTATGAGCAAAATGAGTAGCACCCGACATCATGCAATTGCTGGTCGGTCTATGGTAGTTCAAGGTCCCACAGAAACTGCCTTGGAATTTACTTGCCCGTGCAGGCCGGAGACAACAGCGCGCAGGCCGAAGACGAGCGTCTGGATTTCTCGGGTCAGGGAATTTCAGGTTCATCATTTCATGGAATAAAGTAAGATCGAAATTGGGAAATGATACGTTTCATTGACATGATCATCTTATAATTAGGAGCAAAATGAGTCGGACTCAACATCATGCAATTGCTTGTCGTTCTATCGTAGTTCAAGGTCCCATATAGAGCTGCCTTGGAATTTACTTGCCCGTGCAGGTCGGAGACAACAGCGCGCAGGCCGAAGACGAGCGTCTGGATTTCTCGGGTCAGGGAATTTCAGGTTCATCATTTCATGGAATTCAGTATGACCGAAATGGGGAAATGATACGTTTCATTGACATGATCATCTTATGAGCAAAATGAGTAGCACACGACATCATGCAATTGTTTGTCGGTCTATGGTAGTTCAAGGTCCCATAGAAGCTGCCTTGGAATTTACTTGCCCGTGCAGGTCAGAAACAACAGCGCGCAGGCCGAAGACGAGCGTCTGGATTTCTCGGGTCAGGGAATTTCAGGTTCATCATTTCATGGAATAAAGTAAGATCGAAATTGGGAAATGACATGTTTCATTGACATGATATAATTAGGAGCAAAATGAGTCGGACTCAACATCATGCAATTGCTTGTCGTTCTATCGTAGTTCAAGGTCCTATAGAAACTGCCTTGGAAGTTACTCGCCCGTGCAGGCCGGAGACAACAGCGCGGAAGACACGCGGAGAAGGGCAACCGTGCAGGTCGTGCCCGAGAGAGCCGTGCAAGGCAGTCCAAAGCTTTTGGTGGCAATGGATCTTCCAATATGACAGGTTCACGAGATGACAAATGGGCTGACGAGGACAATCCGTTCCTCAGATTCAAAGAGGATCATGCACTGCACCGCACACGGGACACTGAAGTGTTGCGGGTCTGGCCGATGGAGGCAGTGGTCATGCCTCGTCAACCATGTCATCTTTGCGACGCTGGCTTTGAGGATCGTGCGAGTCTACTGGAACACATTGCCAAAGAGCATGGTGGTTTGCAGAAATATCGGAATGCGATGCTGTGTCTGCAATCGTTCTGTCCGCATGTTGTGGCTGGCAGCGAAGTACGATACTATGTCAGCAACTACAGCACCTTTCTCCGACACGCCAGCATGGATTGGGAAGGGCCTTGCTTGACCGAGCTCCGCGGCGGCCGTGGGTGCGCATTTTGCGCCAGATGGTTTTGGTTGGAAGAGATGTGGGCTGTGCACCTGGCAGGCGAGCAATGCTTCATGCATGAAATCACCTGCAGTTTGGACGCTCTTGTCTGTGGATCGATACCATCAGCGCTGGCCGAAGATCCCTTTGACAGCTGCAAGCCTCTGGCATCCAAGTGTGCGCAGCTGACGGTTCCGTGCAGTTGGCGTTGTTGCACAAACGCCGCGTGTCCGCAGCTGCGGCGCGCGGTGAGGAACCTGTCTATGTTTGCATCGATTGCCACCAAGCCTTCGCTCCCAAGAAGCCGCGGCTCTGCAAGTTTGCTCTCGCCAACGATCTCTGGCTTGGACGCATCGATCCATTGCTGTGGGAGGCCAACATGACGCACGAGATGTGCTTGGCACTCGCCCGCACCGTCGCCACAAAAGTGGTGCTGCGAGCCGGTGGTGCGCAAACGGCGCAGGCGGCCACCGAGCAGCAGTGGGACCACGTGCACCAACAGACTGGTTACGTGGGTTCCTCGGTGCTCTTCCACAATGGCGATGCCAAGCATGCGCTGCAGTCGCTGCCGCCAGAGAAATTGAACGATGCATTGGCCATTACGTTCTGCACGGATCTTCCTGTAGAAGATGTTGACCATGGCCGCGAAGCGGTCCGCAAGATCGTGCAGCTGCGTCTGCGGAAGGACCGATTTCTTCAGCAAGCTCAAGTTTTGATGGACACAAATGTTGTGTATGCTGCAGGAGCGGCCAAGATCGACAACGAACATTTGACGAAATGGCTTGGTGGCGAAGATGATGTCGTTCCTCCGGCTGTTCTTGATTGTGTTTTGACCGTGCCAGTTGGTCGTGATGGGCCTGGCAGCATGCGGCAAGAAGGCCCCGCCCAGGCCACTGCAGGCAACGTCGCTTGCAATCAAGATGAAGTGGTTTTTGCGACGGAGCCGGAAGTGAAGGACTTCAATGACGACGAGACGGACGTCTCCAGTCGTGTCGCGATCATGCTGCAGAAACTGGAAGAGTTGGAAGCGGCTGGTGCCCGTTCGGTTGCCGTCGAGATGGCGTCGTTGATGGAAGAAGATGCAGTGTTGCTGGATCATTTGGGCCGCAGGAGGATTCAGAAAATTTGTGATGAGATTCAAGAGACTTGCCGCAAGTTGTCCACTCAAGAAATGTGTCGGAAGTTGGAGGTGGAACTTCGTGATGCCGTCATGGGTAAGTCCCGTTGGCTATTGCCTGTGAGGAGAATACTGCAGCAGAGGGCCCGGAGACATATGAAGCGCAACACCTCATGGTTGCTCGTGACAAGAAACCGCTTAGTTTCTTTGACTGGAAGATTTGGAGCATGGCCAAACCTCGTCTCTGGCGGTATGGTGACGCTTCGAATTTGTTTGACCGCGAAGAAGCTTTGTCAACTGCAGAATGGACGGCATGCATGCTGCGACGAGAGGACACCGGCGGTTGAGTTGAAGAGTCTTTTTTTTGAAATTTGGTTGCGGGTGACTTTTGGAAATATTTTCGTGTTTTCTGTTGCCGTTTATTTTTTTTGAGTCTATTTGATCAGGAGATGGTGTATTCTCTGGACAGTGATCAGACTCCGTACGTGGCGCCTGTCAACAATCGATTTACACGAGATTGGGTCGCTTTCCACATGATGTCAACTATTTGTCGTCTGACAGATCAACGTAATGCTTCGTACAATTTTCTGAAGAATGGTGGTATGGCGTTCGCCCAGAACCTGAAAGAGTTGCGAGCATCAGATTTAGCACTTGCTGCCAGAGTGGTTGAACCAATGTGGGGTGACTCTCTTGAGGCGATGCAAGCCGCGTCTGCCAATGTTCTCGGTACAGACGGACATCGTAGACATTGTCGCCACGAAGGGTGGGCTTATATCAAAATGTTTAGTCCTCCGTTGATTTTTTTGACTCCGAACATCGCAGATACTCAGCATCCTTTACTGCTCGTCATCCAAGGAGAAACAGTGGATTTGGGTGCAGTGGCCGCTGACATGCCAGAGGATTTGCAAGATATGAGGCGTGTGCTTGATCCTGCACTGTGGCTAGATTCTGAAGAGCATTTGCCGCATGTTGGATTCACTGATTCTTTGGGTTACATGGCTTGGTATGAATGGAATGGCAAAGCTTATGAGGTTCGTTCTGATGCGCCGTCTACTTCCGTGTCCTGGTTGAATCGGAGAGATTGGGCGCCTGACTTTCGATCTGCATGGTTGACCGCTCATCAACAATTTATGGAGAAAGAGGGCGAGCCTGTCACCAGCGACGCACAAGATGAGGACGCACCAATGCCGCCAGCAGAAGATGGACAGCAAGATGCGCACATGGCAAACGCGGAGGAGACAGATGATTCCACTGCTGAACTCACGCGAGCCATCCGCTGTGGCATCAGCGAAGCATTCTGTGATGGCATCAACAGCGGCTTCTACATCAACAGCTATACCACCAAGCCTGGACCTGGTTTAGCTGGTATGTTGGAGGAGCTCCAAAAAGGTCTGCAGAAAGTTGTATATGGTTTTGGAACTTTCTCTTTTCCCGAGAAGATGTTTTGTCCTTTCTTGGTTTTATGTTGCTGTTGCTGTTGTTGGTGTTGCTGTTGTTGCCTTTAGGTTGGAACGTTGACTCAATGTGAGAAGACGTCTTCTTGTTGCTTTTGCAGTTGTTGTTGAAGTTATGTTTGTAAAGCGGGGCAGGTTGGAACGTTGACTCAATGTGAGAAGACGTCTACTAGACATCATCCATTCTACATATATTTCAGTACTTATATATATAATATATATTATATATTATATATATATTGTTGTTGTAGTTTAGGTTTGTAATGCGGGCGAAGGTTGGAACGTTGACTCAATGTGAGAAGACGTCTTCTTGTTGCTGTTGCTGTTGTTCTTGGAGTTTATGTCTGTAATGCGGGCCATGTTGGAACGTTGACTCAATGCGAGAAGACGTCTACCACACATCATCCATTATATATATGTGTTGATATATGTATGTCCGAAGACGTCTTCTTGTTGTGAACTGTTGTTGTTGCGCAGGCATTGAGCGATTGGAGAATGAACGTCAGGAACGCGAACAAGACCGTGAGAAGCAGGCAGAAGCTGCGCGGGCGGCAGGCGAGCATGTTGCAGGAAGACGTGGTGTACTTTTTGCCGAAACACTGAAGACATTGTCTCGCCTGTCGTCTTCCTATCGCCGATGTCATTGGAAAAGGGAGTGAACTCATCTTCCCTTTGTTGTTTCAGCACATGACCTTTGCGTCGCATCGCACCTGGAAGCTATATGTGAAAAAGGCCATTTTTTTGCTGTGGAAGCTTGGAGGCAGCAGTATGGCGAGAGCGTTTTGCAACCGAAGGAGAATCTGGATGTTGCTTCTGATCCAGTGGTGTTTCGTCGCGATGGCCTTGATCCAGTGACTTTGGTTGGTTGGAAGAAGGTGGCACGCGTAGATCAAGAAACTGGTGACACTGTCTATGTCTATGTTGGTCCTCATGGGCAAAATTGTGCTGATTTGGATGAAGCATTTGCTGTGTACGACTCATCGGTTGATTTGGAAAGAGGTGGTCCAGGGAAAAAAGCCCAACAAAAGTTGACGTTCATAGAGGAACTGTTGAAGATTCACCAGGTGACAGAAACCGTGGCACGAGACGAGTGACGAGACTGAATCAGGTGAAGCCACGAACTTGAGAGCTCTGCAAGCTACTGGAGAAGACGTCGCTGTGCTTGAGGGATCATCTTTGTTGAAGTCATCGAGGCCGTTGGCAGTGACGACAAGCAGTCTAGAGGATTATCTGTTTCGTGGATCGCATCCTTTGCTTGCAGGATTGAGCTGGTCAACGTACGGTATGTGGGTCTACCGCATCGAGCTGCCACCGCGCGCAGAGCGGTCTGTTCGAGCAGCCGTGCCTCGCTACGTTGATGTTTACTTCGACCCAGCCTACAAGTTGTACCAGACTCATGCCCAACGCATCAGTACTGAGCCTCGTGTTCCTATGTTTGAAGGCTTCACAATGCCTCCGTTGACTTTGGACTCTGAGCGCAACGCTATGTACAAACAGGTGCAATGTCGTCCCACCGCAATCCTTGCCGACGAGAACGCCGAGCAGGATGCGGAGACATTGGTGTTGGAAGCTTTCAAGCATTATTCCACACTAAAAAGGCGCGTCCCTGGAGAGGATTTGTCGGAAACTGCTGCAGTTGCGTTCACCCGATCGTTGCTTGAATGGCAGGATGACATGAAACGAGAAGCAACGATCGCCAGATACCGCTTTGCTGCCCGTCAACAATATCCGTCTTTATGGGAGACAGCTGAAATGGTTGCTTTGCTGGAAGAGAAGTTGAGTTTGGCGACAGGCACTACAGTGACAACTCCAGACACAGACCCTGATCGGTTGAAGCCGCGTTGCACTGCAGCACAATATTCGTCTATGTTGGCGGAAAGTCGCATTGCGCACCTGGAGGGATTGGCGCGAGCCAGGCAGCAGAAACCGAAGAGGCGCCGAGACACTGATGCTCGGCTCTATGAAGAGTACGTGAAGATCACCACTGCTGGAGAGAAGGACGACGATGAGGCTGCCGACAATCCAGAGGAAGAGATGGAAGTCAGTGTTGCAACAAAGCCATCGGAAGTCTTTCAACCAATCGTGTTCCAAGCAAACGCAGAAGAGCAGAAGAAGCTGTTACTTTTCGAATGTCAAGGTCGACACAATCAGTACACAAAAGATTTTCTGGAGGAGGCATGGATCAAGAATGATTTGTTCGAAGCGGCCGCCAAGTGGAAGAGCTGCAGCAAACACGACCTGCACGCCGTGTTTCATGCGTTGAACAGCTTGTCTCCAGCTGCTTGGTATGTGTTCACAAAGAACTTTTGCTTATATAATGTTTGTTTGTAGGTTGAAACTGTTATTGAAATTATCAGTTGCTGGCCGTCAGAACATTGCTGATCAGGACCAGAGAGCAGACGTCTTGGATGGACCGCGTGCCGGAGCAGTCGCAGAAGAGGAAGCAGCGCCCATGGACACGGGCGAAGACGACCGCCACGTCTTTCTGAAGAAGTGTTTACCTCGACTGCCTGCTGATTGTGTTCGCTTCAGCCAACAACGGGTCTACAGCAAGCCTTCTGACTTGGTCAAAGCTATGGTTCAAGCATTGCCTGCCAACAGGCGCTTGAACGAGGACCAGGAAATTTTCATGATGCGCTTTGCCGAGGTGCTCGACATTGTTTATGAGCAAGAAGCCGCGGAGCAGCCGCCAGACAAGCGGCATGTCTACCACATGCTCCTTCTGGGTCAAGGCGGCTCTGGCAAGACGCACATCGTGCAGAATATCATTTTCCAGTGGTCCATTTCATTTGGCCAGCAGATAATGAGGCAGAGACCCTGATGGTTGTGGCCGCGAAGAATGCGCAGGCCAAAAACATCTCCACAGAGCAGGTGCGGGCAAGGACATTGCACGGAGCCGCGCTGCTCGGAGTCCAGTCCCTGACCAACAGCAACATGGCGGCCGGCTCCAAAGAAAACGCGCTTCAAAAACTGTGGGGCTCGGTTCGCGTGTTGGTCGTGCAGGAGATCAGCATGGTATCTGCTCTGTTGTACAACATGTTGGATTATCGAGCCATGCTGGGTCGTCGTGTCGTTTTCAAAGTGGACCGACATACCTACACAAAAACTGGTTGTGCTTTTGGCCGCGTGCCGATTGTTTTGCACCTTGGTGATTTCTTTCAGCTTCGTCCTACTGCGCAGTTATCGTTGCTGGACGACTTGGAAGCGAAAGACGACGATGGGAATTATATCTATCAGGACGTGCCAGCAGAGGTGCAGCACGCACAGCAACTTTTTGGCTCGATTCCAGATGTCTTTGAGCTCCGTGGCACAATGCGATTCAAGCCTGGTGACCCTTTGATTGACATTTTGCAGCACATGCGGTCTGGCAAACGCTTTCCCGATGCGTTGTGGGAAAGGCTGCAGGAAAGGTTTGCAGTAGATGTTTCTCCACGGTGTACAAGATGCACGGTTCGACGAGGCCAAGTTTCGCGAAGGATATGGCATGTCGATTTATTGGGCGTCTCTGGGTCGCATGATATGCCGCAGAGCGCTCATGGATGCTGTCCGCCTGGCACATCCATTAGTCTTGCTCCAGGCAGCTGATGTGTGCACTGACCTGGACAAGGAGACTGCTTTCCGCTTCTTGAACCGTCCGAATCCCTACGGCACTGGTCATATGCATGGAATCTTTCCCTGTCATGTCGGCATGCAGGTGCGACTTATCGCGAAGTTGGATGCTGACAAAGGAATGATTCAAGACACTGTTGGAACCATCATGGGTTTTGAGTTTCACAGCCAAGATCGCCGACGCTATTCTGTCTGCGCTGGTGGAGATCTGTTTTCGCCGCAGTATTTGCCGTCGGGCATTTGGCTGTCCATTGATGGTTTTCAGGGATGTTCTAACTGGATGAATTTGATGGACTTATGCCGGCAACATGTCCCAGATGAGGCAACGGCCGAGAAGTTGGCTCGCAGCTTTTGGTTTTTGCCTGCGGAAGAAATTGTTGTGAAATTCTCCAGCACGCAGAATTACCAGGTGCGCCGCTGTGGATTCAGGATGACGCATGCCAACTTCTTTACAAGCACCGGGTCGCAGGGTCTGACTTTGCGGAAAGGCACAGTAGTTGATTGTGCGCGTTTGCCAGAGATGGACGACAACAATTGGTGGCTGCATCTTTATGTCATGTTCAGCCGCGTAACGTCTTTGGATGATTTATTATTGCTACGTCCACCGCCACGGGATGTTCTCGAACGTGGACCACCAACAGCGATCGCGGAGAAGGTTGCTGCATTTCAGAAGCGCGCAGAAGAATGTCGACAAGGGTCACTGTCTAGGTGTCAACCTCGCGCTGAACCATAGCTTCTGGTAGGTAGCTTCCTTGCTGCTTCATGTCATGGGATGGCACACTGTCAACAGCTGTCGTGGGCGCATTGATGCAATGTGCGAAGATGATGCCTGCGGTAGCGAAGTTTGTGTTAACAGCTTGTGTGGGCACATTGATGCGCTGTGCAAAGATGATGCCTGTTGAAGAGACTTAATCAAGTGCGACAGTTGTTACGAGAAGGAAGTGTGTCATCCGTCCGATGAATTGAGGCAAGGTAGTTTCCATTGTTTGTAATTTGCTCTACTGCCTTATGATGCGATCTAGGCAGATGCCGCGAGAGCAATCTGCGTGTCGTCTGCAGCTTCATGTCATGGGATGGCACACTGTCAACAGCTGTCGTGGGCGCATTGATGCAATGTGCGAAGATGATGCCTGCGGTAGTGAAGTTTGTGTTAACAGCTTGTGGGCACATTGAAGCACTGTGCGAAGATGATGCCTGCTGAAGAAAGTTTATGTGAGTGCGACAGTCGTTACGAGAATGAAGTGTGTCATCCGATGAATTGAGGCAAGGTAACTTGCATTATTTGTAATTTGCTCTACTGCCTTATGATGCGATCTAGGCAGATGCCGCGAGAGCAATTTGCGTGTCGTCTGTAGCTTCATGTCATGGGATGGCACACTGTCAACAGCTGTCGTGGGCGCATTGATACAATGTGCGAGGATGATGCCTGCGGTAGGGAAGTTTGTGTTAACAGCTTGTGTGGGCACATTGAAGCACTGTGCGAAGATGATGCCTGCTGAAGAAAGTTTATGTGAGTGCGACAGTTGCTACGAGAAGGAAATGTGTCATCCGATGAATCATAGCGGCAAAACTTCGAAAGGTGCAGCTGTGTTGTATTAGTAACTTGTGCTGTTTGTTTTTCATGCGCTTGTCACTGCCGGTGCCGTGTGTCACTAGTTGACAAGCCAAGATGAAAACAAGCGTTGTAGGCTAGGTTTGCATGGCGATAGACATCTGCCAGGTGGTCAGAAGAAGATGCTGCCTTATGTGAGCACCCCGAGGCTCCGAAAGTCGACTGATGCCTGTCTGACATGTGGCACAAGTCAAAATTCTGTCCGTTTGTTGCAGGCGAAGAAGCGTCATGAGAAGACGTCGTGAGAGCAGGCCACGGGATAAGGATTGTTTCTGTGATTGTGATTGTACATATCATGAAATGAGATCACGCACTGGGCAAAGAACTGTTTGACGCCGTAACCAGAATGGTTGTGCGTTTCTGAGTATGATGCAACAAGTGGTTGTAACAAGCTAACATGTAATATAAATTGGGAAGCATCGGTATCATTGCGGAACGAAGAAAGAAAAGATTGGTTGCTGCTTTCATAGCTGTAACAAAAAAATATGCATGAAGTCTCTGTGTGTTTGGTACTTGCTCAGGTGCCTGTCCAGTCAGCTTCTTGGACAGAGGACAGGTGTGTGTCGTATGGCCCGACACTGAAGCAATAATGAGCAAGAGCTTTGATCCAATGTGGGAAGAAGCGTATGCAGATGCATCTCGAACCGACACTGATTCAAATGCTTCTGATGCCAGCAAGATTTGGGCTCTCCTTGCTTTGTGTTTGTGTTGTTTTGTGATCAGACAGTGGTCCCGTGGGCATGGCAGAAGGCATTTACACACCGGCTGTGACGCAGTGCTTCTTGGTCCTTCTGCAGAGGCTGTGATCTCATGCACACACACTGCAGTTGCATTTGTCATGAGGCATCGAGGTGAATAGCTTGTTTCGAGTCTTTCATAGTTTGGCCTGTTGTTGGTAGGCGCTGCACGTGCCAATGGGTGCTCGACGTGGCCGCCACCTACAGCCAGAGGCAGGTGATCATTTTTCATTGAGAGGATCGGTGGCTGGCGCGCGAGAGATATGGATACTACGATGACGGACTGAGGCAGGGGGCCTTGTAAGTAGGTTGTGGCTGGTCTGTTTGACCTGACGCAGCACAATCTGTCGGAAAAAGGATGTAGCTAAGTCGGTATTGCATAGCGTAGTGCCTTAGCATTGGTTTGGCGCAATGTGCAAAGAACTATGCTCATTGACCTTGCAGTAATGTGACAAGGTGTCTATGCTCTAACGGCATTAACTTTGGCGTCCTCGCAACAAAAAAAAGGTCCGCGGTGAAAAGGTCCGCGGTGTGGATTTTGCCGCACTGTGGGAAGAAATGCTACAGGCCTTGTCAAGATTTGATCACAGTGAAAATGTGGCATTCGTGCGGCAAACTGAATTGTATTTTGCACATGTTGCTTTGACAACCAGCTCCATATACGTCCTCTGTCCTTTTGCGGCCAGGTACTTTTCCGCTCTTGCATCGTCATCGGGCCTGTGACCTTAGGGCAGGCGGCGGCTTTCTTCATAGTTCACCGGTTGGAGTCGTCCACAAACTCTCCTAGATTTATTCCGTGACAGCTGGAAGTGACATGCTTTGACATTGGTTTGGCGCAATGGTTTGGCGCAATGTGCGAAGAACCATGCTCATTGACATTGCAGTAATGTGACCAGGTGTCAATGCTCTAACGAGATTAACATTGGCGTGCTCGCAACGAAAAAAAAGTCGGCGGGGATGCCGCATGCCAGTATCTACATTGACCTCCTTTCATGTTTTGTAACGTTTTGTGTTAGAGCAATGACCATTTCGTTGGGGTGTTGTCACAGGAGTAAGTGCCATGCTTTGTTGTTTGTACATGCGCACTGTTCTTTTGCAGCTATGAGTTCTTCGGCACGTGGCAAAAGATATCGTGACCACACCAAGGTTTCAAAACCGTCACTTGCTTTCGTTGAAGTCTGTGCGCAAGCTTTCTTATCTGCTGTTTTGGCTGCCGGCATTGTTGATTCAATGTGGAAAGACATGCCAAGCAGATGACACAGTGATCCGGAATGGCTTGGCGCAACGTGCAAAGAGCCCAATCTCAGTCACACTGCGTGCGGTTAACATATTTGGGAAAAGACTGCGCAGGTAGGGTCATAAGATGAAGAAACTGTGACTGTCGCAAGAAGATGCTGCCTGATGTCAGCATTCAAAGGCTTCGCATTGTTGATTGATGTTTGTTCGCAGACGAGGGAATGTACCACAAACTGTGATATATTGCAGACGAAAGTTGATTGATGCCTGTCTGACATATGATTTAAACTGTCTGTGTCTGGTCTGTGTTTGAAATGACATATTGCAAACTTCTGTCCGTTTGCTGCAGGCGGAGGTACCTATTCGATTGCTTGCATGGACAGAGAGAAGCGTGTGTGGCACGGCGGCCCAGTGAAGTTTTTGGATCGGAAGCTTTGGAAGATTCACGCTTAAATGTTAGTAATTGGCTTTGGCTTTATACGTGTTCTGCACTTTTGCGGCCAGGTACGTCTCCTCTATGTCGTCATCGTCGGATTCGTGGCTGGCCATCGCTTTGATAGCAGAGCCTGGTGGAACTCGAAGAAAGCGGAGCAACTTACTCACAAACAACTTACCCTACATACATACATACATACATACATACATACATACATACATACATACATACATACATACATACATAACATTACATAACATCACATTACATTACATTACATTACAATACAATACAATACAATACTATACAATACAATACAATACAATACATACATACATTACTATCTTTTCACACACCTTCTTGCTTTGTCACACACCCTCTTTCACATTCCACTTTGTCACACACAACTGTTTTAACTTCTCGATCCTTCACCACATCCTTTGTCTTTCCTTCCTTCCCCGTCCCCGCTACAACCTTTGAAGCTCATTATTGGAAGAAGTTGACTTGTGGGGTTATCCGGTCCTTTAATTTTTTAACCTGCGATGCTTTCACCTGTTCTTTGCATTCTTCCACAAGAAACAATGTTGCAGATTGAAACTGGATGACAGCGTGACCCGAAAGAAAGCTGGATGGAGGAGTCGCGCAGAAGCTTTTACACATACAGGGGCTTTTACACAGAGAAGTCTTTACACAAAGGAGCTTTTTACACACAGAAGGTTTTACACAGAGAAGGCTTTACTCTAAGGAGCTTTTGCACACAAGCGTCTAGGAGCCTTTACACACAGAAGCTGTTACACAAAGAAGGCTTTACACAGAGGGCTTTTTACACACAGACGCGTCTGCACACAGAAGCTTTTACACAGAGAAGCTTCACACAGAGGAGCTTTTACACACAAAAACATTTACACACAGCAAGCTTTTACACACACAGGGGCTTTTACACAGAGAAATCCTTACACAAAGGAGCTTTTTACACACAGAAGGTTTTACACAGAGCAGTCTTTACTCTAAGGAGCTTTTGCACACAAACATCTAGGAGCTTTTTCACACAGAACTTTTTACACGAAGAATACCTGACAGAGAGACTTTTTACACACAGACGCGTTTGCATAGAAGCTTTTACACAGAGAAGCCTTTACACAGAGGAGCTTTTACACACAAAAGCATTTGCACACAGCAAGCTTTTACACACACAGGGGCTTTTACACAGAGAAGCCTTTACACAAAGGAGCTTTTTACACACAGGAGGTTTTACACAGAGAAGTCTTTACTCTAAGGAGCTTTTGCACACAAACGTCTAGGAGCCTTTACACACAGAAGCCGTTACACAAAGAAGTCTTTACACAGAGGGCTTTTTACACACAGACGCGTTTGCACACAGAAGCTTTTACACAGAGAAGCCTTCACACAGAGGAGCTTTTACACACAAAAGCATTTACACACAGCAAGCTTTTACACACACAGGGGCTTTTACACAGAGAAGTCCTTACACAAAGGAGCTTTTTACACACAGAAGGTTTTACACAGAGAAGTCTTTACTCTAAGGAGCTTTTGCACACAAACGTCTAGGAGCTTTTTCACACAGAACTTTTTACACGAAGAAGGCCTGACAGAGAGAGTTTTTACACACAGACGCGTTTGCACACAGAAGCTTTTACACAGAGAAGCCTTTACACAGAGGAGCTTTTACACACAAAAGCATTTACACACAC